GGGGGGGGGGGCATATATCTTTTTGAATTAGCATTTATTATTTCCATGGATAAATACCCAGAAGTGCAATTGCTGGGCTGTATAGTTCTATTTTAAATTTTTTTGAGGAACCTCCATACTGTTTTCCATAGTAGCTGCACCAATTTATAATCTTACCAACAATGTATGACAGTCCCCTTTACTCCACATCCTCACCAGCACTTAAGTTTATTTCTTGTCTTTTTGATAACAGCCATTCTAACAAGTGTAAGGTGGTATCTCACTGTGGTTTTGATTTACATTTCCCTGATGATTAATGATGTTGAACATCTTTTCATGTGTTTGTTGGCCATTTGTATGTCTTCTTTGGAGAAATGTCTACTTACGTAAAATAGCAAATATCTCTATAGCTTCCTTTACTGCTTAAAACATGAAATTAAATTTTTCCAGATATATACTTATAAAAAAATAACTTTCAGAAGATGTTGGGATATCTGACATTTTCCATCATATCTGGTTTGCTTATATACACATATTGTTGCCATAAATTCAAAAGATACCATCTATGTCCACACCGTTCAAATAAATAGTCTAACCACATTTATACAACCAAATAGTATATTTCCATATAGATGTCTGAATTGTTTAACTATTAGGTTACTTCCTCTCCCCTTTTTTGGCAGAGACAGCTACTTTTCCAACAAAGTCTTCGTCCCCTTCTATGGTTGTCACTGGAAGGCAGCTGCCCGGTCAAGTACTATTTCCCAGCTCTACTTACAAACATATATTCATATGACTTGTTACCGCAAAGCAATGTAAGGAGAACTGATGTGTGCCAGAGTTTTTAAGAAGCGTGGTTGCTAGAAATATATTTAGAGAATAATACATAAAAAAAGGACTCCTCTTACTGAAAGTACATACTTTTCTTACTGCTCTCTAACATTTACAAGTCACTGACAATCAAACCTCAGAATCTCGATCATATTAAAGTAGAAAGTTTACGTAAATTCATTCTGAGTGTTAATGTCACTAGTTTAGCACTAGGCCTTCCACTCCAAGGAGTCTTGAATAAAAAAAAGCACCTGTGGTTACTGCATGAATTTTTAGTGAGGAGCTAGCTATATGTTGACATTCCTTTCTTTCATGCCCGTGGTAGGCAAACACTACCAACAGACTGTTGCATTTTGCTATATTTAACAAGTGCCTACTATGTGTTACGATCCTAGGTGCTTGGAGTAACTTCTACAACCAAAACAAAGATCTCTGCTCTCATGGAATCTACATTCAAGCAGTCACCACTCCCATCATTTAGACTTTGCACCACAGTTTTAAAAGTATCTGCCAACCCTTTTAAAGACTCAATAAACATGAGCAATGAAGAACTGCTGGAGTGATGTGTAAAGGAATTATACTGTAGACATTCCATGTGGGATAACAACGCTACAAAATCAAGCTAATATCCCCGCTAGAAAACAATGTTCCAGCTTATTAGAGAGGACAATGGGTACATTCTTAGATACAACTGAAAAAAAAATAAAAGGAAGCCAAGAAGAAAAAGCTTCTAAGGTGGTGAAGGAAATCACTGTAATAGAATGTCACAGAGTGACAAGAGTAGCAAACAAAATTTCCATTTGGAGCCTTAGGTGAGGCTCTTCATCCAGAGAGTGAGAATTTCATGTAACAATAAGATTTATAGGAACACGCCAGTATGGAAGAATCCTACTGTTTCCTCCAGAAGGAAGTGAAGGCTGGTGAGTCTGTACCAAGGTGTAGGAAATTCCATCCCACTGACAGGCAAATTAGAAAATGTGCTCTCTTCCTGCAGCATGTATCTAAAATGTGACTGAGGACCATTTAGCCAATGCAAACCTTCCATCTATTTCTACTAACTCATCTAGGAATAAATGATGTAATTAGTAGAAATTAAAACAATATTGTACAGTAGAAGTTTGAGTCAGCCTTTGAGTCACAAGACTCAGATCTGAGAAGGGGTTTGGGGAGTTGACTATATACAAAGAGACTATATATACACTTTACAAACCCAAACTTACAAAAGGACAGCATTTGCTACAGTTTAGTGTAATAATCCATATTTTGCATGCTCCTTTATTCTTTTGACGAATTAAATTTGGACCAAAAAAGAAACCTGATGGGAAATACATCTGAACACTGTCTCTGTTAATCTAGGATTAACATCTTACTTTATAAAAAGATAAAGAATGCTTTGGAATTAGTATATCAATTTTCCATTACAAACCCAAACCTACAAAAGGAAAGCATCAGCTACAGTTCAGTTAGTGTAATAACCCATCTTTTTCAGTTCATATAATATCTGACTTTGACACCTATTAAATATGCACCAGAAAGCTACTTCCACTAAAAAGGAAAGTGTAAGTGGCAGAAAATTCTCAGCCCCAATACAAATGTACAGTATAAGGGAGAAGGAAAAAGATAAATGCCCTCTTCCATCACTGCTCCCGATTCCTAAGGAATTGTCTTATAGGGCATAGGTTTGCTGTCAGTTAACCGTAGATCAAATTCAGTTCTACCAAATCATTTAGTCATATGATATTGGCAAATTACATATACTTTCTGATCCTCAGTCTCTTCATATATAATAAATACCTACCTCATCCACGATTTTTGTGTATTTTGAAAAGGCATTTCAAAGATTTACGTTAACTTGATAATGCATATGAATGTGTACCACAGCACCTGTCACAGAACAGGCTTTCTTCCTTAACCAATGCCTAAGAAAAGGAGTGAATTGGGGGAGAAACAGAAAAAAGAACACAAAAGGAAAAATTACAAACTCCACATTATGTCCTTTCCCTCTTTTCCCCCAAGCCCTCCTCTCCTTTCCTCATTTTTGTTTCTCATTCCTAATCTTTTGAAGCTTTCTAGAGTAAGAGGCAGGCTTCATAGTGCCTACCAAGCAGGTGGGATAATCTAGGGAAGCTTCTGTACTTAAATTCAGCTTAACAGTAAGGCATCACTGGGAGAGCTCTAGTATCCCAATATGGAACTCATAACAGAGTGGTTTTTAGGGTGAGGAGCTAGGAAGGTGGGGTGGTATGGAGATTGGAAAGGCTATCACCCACTGTATAACCACAGGATCTATTTAGTAAGTCAAATATTTCATCTGTTCAAGAGCTCAGCAGGTTTTAAAAAACAAACAAAATAAAACCTGAAAATCAATTAGAGCACATTTACCACTGAAACACTGTTATACCTGTTAGGTTTTTATAAGTAAACGCTAATGAGCTGCCTGGAAATCTAACCCAAAGGGTTAACCTTACAGAAAACACTTTTTCTGGGAAAAGATTTTGATTTTCAAATAAATGACTGACAAAGTTTGGGAACACAATCGACTTATAATTTTAGTTAGTTTGTGTTTACAAAATTATTTTGCAAATCTTAAAGAAGCTAATCATTTTCAAGTGCTCATGCTTATTTTGTTCTAAATATTAACCACATACGTTACAGAAAAATATCCACAATTACTCTGCCCTTTTATCAATTAAAAAAAATAAAAGTTTTAATGTAGCTATTTTCCTGATACAATGTGGCAAAGCTGTCATCCAAATAGTCACAATTACTGTTAAATCACATCTCAGCTACCTGCTTTAATGAAATTATTTTTTAAAAGCCTTGCTTTCAAATGTGTCTTTTTATAGTAAAACTTCTATATAGGTGTTGTGGAGCCTGGTTATGTGAGCCACAAATACCTGTAATGAACTAATACAGTGGTACCTCGGTTTTCAAATGTAATCCATTCGGGAAGACCGTTCGAGTTCTGAAACGTTCGAAAACCGAGGGGTCAACAGCCGACAGCTAGGCCTCAGGATCTTGCCCCTCAGAGGAAGCCGTGTGGCATGTTCTACTTCCGAGGCGTGTTGGAAAACCAAAGCATTTACTTCCAGGTTTACGGCATGCGAAAACCGAAATGTTTGTCAAATCCAGGTACCACTGTATCTAGAAAAACATCAAATCAAGCCTTCCTGCCCTGGCTGGGTAGCTCAGTCAGTTGGACCATCATCCAGATACACCAAGGTTGAAGGTTTGATCCCTGGTCAGGGCACAGAAAAACCAACCAATGAATGTATAAATGGGTGGAGCAACAAATCAATGTTTCGCTCTTTTCCTTTCTCTCTCTCTCTAAAAAATCAATTAAAAAAAGATCAAGTCTTCCTGCCTAGAGAATTAAACCCATTTACTTGAGGTTACACCTATCTAGTGCAAAGGGATTTATTAAAGTTTCAGAGGTATCACCAACTAATATAAAAAACCAGAGAAGTGGCTGGCCAGAAGCTCAGTGGCTGAGTGTCAACCCAGGAACCAAGAGGTCACCAGTTCGAATCCCGGTCAGGACACATGCCTGGGTTGCGGCCTCAATCTCCAGTGTGGGGATGTGCAAGAGGCAGCCGATCTCTCATCGATGTTTCCATCTCTCTATCCCTCTTCCTTCCTCTCTCTCTAAAAGAAAATCAAAACATTAAAAAACAAAACAAAACCAGAGGAGTATTGCAAGGGACTGTCACACTAAAAAGATCTACCAATCTACAAAATTTATAACAGCCTAATAATCATAGTTCCGTCCAACTATGAATTCCTAAAATGCAGCCGTCATGCTGCAATTATTTTCATAATATCAAAACTAGCATAGTGTTTGTCACACCACATGTTTAATAAATATCCACTTAATAAATGGAATAACACTGCACTGGAATAACACTACATTTGCCTGAGAAAGTCCACAGCCAAGTCTGTGTCAGGTTTTCATTATAACTTTTACTTACCTGTTATCTAATTTTATTTCAAATTCTAGATTCTAAAAATTTTCTTAAATTTTTTTTATCAATACAAAAACTTCAACCACACATTTATATAAGGCTGAAAAGATACTAGAAACCATCTGGCCCAACTACATCCTGTTTCAAATGGTGAAACTGAGGCCTATCGAGTTTACTGAATTGATGAAGGCCACATAACTCTTCATTGTCAGAAATGGAACTAAATTACAGATCTTATACCTTTTAGTCTTTTCCTTATTACACTACAGTTGCCTTGTATGCTCCTTTTCCAATGCTTATTATTTTTAAAGTATCCTTATCTGTAAAATACTAATTACATCAAAAGAAAATTTAGAAATCCATAAACTTCCCATGGAACAATTATAGTATTAATTTATGCAGCAAAAGGCGCCAACTACCCTGGCTGGGTAGCTCAGTTGGTTAGCATTGTCCTGATACACTAAGGTTGAAGGTTCAATCCCTGGCCAGGGCACATATAAGAATCAACCAATACATAAATAAGTGGAACAACAAATCAATGTCCCCCTTTCTCTCCCTCCCTCTCTCTCTAAAATCAATAAAATAAAATAAAATTTTTAAATGCCAACTTTCTCCAACCCACCCCAATTTCTACTTATGCTAAAAATCTGAAAGTTATATTAAAAAATTAAGTGACTAGTCTCCATAATTAGGTTAAGAAAACCTAGAGTTTACATACTGCTAGGAGGCTGAAATCAGACAATCTTTAAGTTTGAGTAGTCAGGCCTTTCCTGTCTCTGTCCCCTACTACCAATAACCAGCAGACATATTCTATAAACTATGCATTCTTTTACACACATTATGTCAAGAAAATCAAAAAGAACTTTTTTTTTGGTTCTTGAAAGATATGAACATAAGTCATAACATTGATTGCCACTAGTAACATGACAGGATACCAAATGTATTTTAGAAAAATCTATGATATATATATTCTTTGCATAGCTTGGGCTTTCTATAGTCACTAAAATAGTAAAAACATTCCAAAATAAACTTTATTAAAATAACCTTTAAATTCAATTTGCAAGTGTTTAAACAATTCTGTAAAATCATTTTCTAGAACAAAACTTTGAGGGTTAAAAAAAAGGGAAAAAAAAGAATTTAACATTAGCTTACAAAAAAGCACCAAGCTAGTTTTGGAAAATTTTAGTAGAGGTGTTGTGTGTGGAAGCCTGTATATATAAAGTCATATAGCCCAACCACATCCCTGTAAACAATTAAAAATTCATTAAGTATTTATTCTACTAGGGACTCTTCTCAAAGATTCATATAAAAGAATTCCTTGCCATAGTGCTCAATGAAGTGAGCACTAGATCAAGTATATCAGTCATGGAAAGAAATGTGCTTTTACATTGGTGTTTTGTGGGAGCATAAAGAAGGGGGTCAATATACCAATGTATTGCTAAGTATGTGCTAATATAACAATGTACACCTGTTAATGTTCATGAGTGTAGTATTCTGTGCCTTTTCCTTCCTTGTGGTTATACAAACAAGAATGAGTGCTGCTTCTCCCAATATTCTCTATTCCCCATCCAAAATTAGCCAAAACCGGAGCCACCAAGTTTCTAAGCCAGGATTAATATGAGTTGTCTTCATAGATTTTCCGGCAGTAGTGGTAAAAAAGACAGGATGCTATGGCTCTTTCTTGGCATGTTTATAAACTTAGCAACATTTCAGAAGCAGCAAAAATTGCATCTTCCAGTCGGGGGCTTGCCATATTTAGATGCTATTGTATCTGTGTTTATTGATGCCCATCTTCTCATACCCCAGGAATAAAGGAAGAACAGGAAAAAGAATCTAGGGTTCCTACTTGCAAAATTCAGACAGCTACAGGGGATATGTCATGTGTAGCTAGTTCTAGATCTCTTGAAGGTCTTCCATTTCAGTGGGGAATCCAAAGAACCTGCTTTATAAGCTCTCCTACCACCCCCAAACAACAGTAATAGCAGTAGCACTTCTAAGAGACACAGCTTAAAAGCAGCAATGGAGTAAAAATACGATATATGCTTCATATATATACACTCAAACAAGGGAAACTGAAGGGCAATGCTATCCCAGGCACAGAGGCTTATAACTCAGTTCTGGTGTACCTCACCGGTACACCATCCTGTACTCTGAAATTACTCTTTCCTGGAGTGAGCTTCAAGATCTTAAAAAGTAACACCAGGTAAACCCAATCCAGACCAGGATGTGTTGCCATCAAGTCAGCTAGTTCCAAGATAACAGTAGTAGTGCTGCTGCAGCCAATGATCCCTTGGCACACAGACATGTTAAAATTATACTGGCAGCAGCACCGGCTCTTCTCGCTCACCCTCTGCTGTTACTATAGCTCCTTTTGCTAAATCTGCCTCTGAGTTTAGACAGGAGCTGGATGGTTCATAATCACCCAGCAGCTGCAGCTGAGCAATACTCAGGCTAATTGTGGCGCTGAAGCAGCTGAGAGGAAGAAAAGAGATAATACATACCCTGCCATAGGCACACACAAACTGCCATACACACTACCAATAAGATACCAAGATACTTTAACAGGAATGGATTATTTCCTTTAAAGAAAGGCATTTGTACCTTGCTAGAGGAACTTATATTTGTATTATAGACCTATTTAAATGTTAACTGAAGGTGACCTAAGCCACGTAGGGTTCTGAACAATGGAAGATCTTAACTAAAACTTCCTGTAAATATTCATGTAACAAAGCTAGCACCACAAACATCACCTTTATAACATGACTGAAAGTTCCTGCGATATAAGAATTTGGCACAGATGTGATCTCTTCTTCCACTCATTACAAAATGCCAACTAAAAAGCTACCAACAACTAAAATAAGCCTCATATAAAGCAAGAAAAGTAGCATAATATGATGTTTCTCAGCATTTTCAAAACTCCAATGCCGTATTGTAATTTGCTTTCTTTTGAAACGAAACATACCCTTCCTTTAGGTGTTATACGA